TTCAGGAAAGTTAAAAAAGATTTACACACTAAACTTCTTAAAACTTGCCCAAGCTAGAGGAAAAAAACAAAAACAAAAACAAAAAGGAGGTCCTTGATCATTTCCTGCACTTGCACATACTTGGTACCATAGTGGAATGAATCAGGTCATCACAGTATGACTTGCTAAAACTTCAAGTACATACACTGCCATCTTTCATGCTTACTACTGAAGAAGAATCTTCTATGAGATCTTCTATGTTTCTGTTCTGATCACTATCTGGCCTACCCAAGAAGACTTGGAGCAGCTGGAAACGAAGCCGAGTTTTGTGGACCAGCACTTAAATGCTTGGTGGTTAATGTGCTCAGTGTCCACTTGCAGAGCCATTCTGGCCCATATATTGCAAATGTTGTATTTCTATGATATCTGAAGTCATTATAGGATTCAAGCAAGTTCAGCTAGTGGAGTTTTGCCAAAGTAGAAATGCTAAGGACTTTAGGGTTTTTAGACTGGCCTTTAAAAGGCTAAGAAATGTCAGAGCAAATCAGCTCCATATTTTAATTTCTTACTGGTATACAATGAAATCTGAATTTCATTCTATGGCAACCTTTTCTCTTTAATCTAAAGAATTTGCCTATTTTTAAACAAGAATGATGTGTTATTCTTTCACCTAAGGAAGAAACAAATCCCAAAAGCCTAATGTCCACTGGTGTCCTTACTCTCTTCTGAAAATTTCTATAGGTGGTAGCAGCAGACAGACAGGCAACATACCAGACTTCGATAGAGATTTGAGATTTCTGCCACTGAAAGACAGCACCGTAGTGCCAAGCATGATCTCATCTCTTCTGTTACACACCAATCGCCGTTACTGATATTGTATAAATCCTCAGTGTCTCAAGTGAAGGTGATATTTTCATGAATATACTAAAAATAAAAGCATTCATCCTATATAGACTCTCCCTGCAAGAGTCAGAATGGAGAAGAATAAAGAGAGATCTTTCTCACTTACCAATCTGAGCCATCGGAACAATATAATTTCAAGCCACAACACCTAATATAACTTTGTTTAAAATACAGCCCTTTCTATTTTATGTTTCATGTTGCACCACTCTTAATAGACCATTAAGTCATGCCTGGCTGATTTACGACATGAAACTTCCCAGAGCAGAGTGAAATGCATCATACAGTCACATTGCACTTAAATGTGACTAGGCTGTATTTAATTAATCTGAAATTTGGAAAATTCATGGCATGTGTCTTATCTGTTTCTCTCTTCTTCAACATGGTAGGGAACTGAAGTTTTTGTAACTTAGTTGGTCTTCCCTTACTTCCTTAGTTAATTCCAAATACTTAATTTCTATCCAAGTGGCAAAAGTATCTAGCTATTTGCTGCATGTCGCTTCTTTCTGGGAAGATGAGTCATAGCATATGACAATAAATTAAGTAAACTTGACTTACTGCAAGGCAACTGAAATGCAAAGAACTGTATTTTCACTTGGATGTAGTTGAAATTAATTTGAAAATTGAGTACTCTGTGATCTGAACGACTTTTTGGATGATTAGTAAAAAGGTAACTGAAACATCAGACAGATCTTCATAGATCTTCTATTTGAACTTTAGGTCCTCCATCTCAAAGCAATATGGCAAATGCTTTTGAAAAGAGGACTAACTTTCAGTGGGACTGTATGAAACTTTTGGGATCCTCCCAACTTTTGTGCTTCTTTTAACAGCTATTCTCCTGACCAACTGCCATAAGAAATACAGCAGAATGCAAAGGTGAGAAAATACTAACTTGCTCATCTAGAAAATCCATCTAATGAGTGAAACATCAACAGAAATGGTTGACATAGGGATAAATATCTTGTTTCCTAAACCCATCTGTTGTAAATCCTGTCAGAAATCTTTTCAAAAGGTTATAAATAAGAGAACATCTATTTTAGAAACGGGCAATACATTTATTCCTAACAGCAAATCCAAACATGATGAGTAACTGGCATAGAGCTGTTAAATTCACCAGCTGCCATCTACCTCAGACAGAACCAATACCTCATTTTGTCTATATGTAGCATATACCATATGTTAATAACTGCTTGAACCTAATATGGTCATTGGTAATCCCACTCCTGAATTTTCGACTCAAGCTGAAATTTAAATAAAAATATAATAACTAACAGAATATAAATATTTGAAACAAGCAAAAACTGAATAGAAAATGAAAATTTTGCAAGAGTTTGCAACAAGAATTGCAATCCTGGAACATTAAAAATATTCCTCTATTCTTCAGTGACAAGGCATTGAAAGAAAATGGTTTGGTCTTGTTTAAAACACAATAAAGACAAAACATGTCTGCTTTGAATTGGAGGTAGTGATGAAAGTTAGAGGTACATAGATAATTCTCAGGTGTCAGAAAGAATATAAACTTTTAAACTGCTCCCCTGCAGTTTAACATATATATAAATATATAAATATTCTTCTGTTAAAATGTCATCCTCCTAGAGAGCTGTAAGCTTAATAACATTAAGTACTGTTTGCTTTAGCGGTATTTTTTCTCTGCATTCCAGTTAACTTCCTGAACAAAAAAAATGCTACAAGATTTGACTCACCATTCTTGTCAAATGACAATTTCAACAGAAGATCATTTGGGCTTCTTGGTGGGGAACTGGTGGTGGAGAGGGAAGCTACTTTGTTTTGCTTTACTGGGCTTTAAATTTTCCAAAAACAGGATAAGTAGCCACCTGCTTTGCCTACTCTTGACTGAAACAGAGATTATGAACTGTAGAAATCAGTTTCATTTCAGGTCCTTAAGCAAAAAACCATAAAGGCATACACTATCATAAGGACGGCATTGCCTTTTCTACAAGTAGAGGATCAGATAAAAGTGATCTAAAGAAAGTGATCTGCTTTTATTATGCATAAATGTGTATGTAGCAATCACTACATACACACTTGTATGGGAGTTCTATATGCTAAGTATTTTGGGGGTTGGACTTATTTACTTAACAATCTTTTCATAATTCACAAAGATAATCACTAAATTAAATAATTTGATAAAGACCATATGACCATATAATAATTATTTTAAAGTCAACGATTCTAATTCATGTTTCCTGAAAAAATAATGTAAAAGAAGAGTTTTCTTTGTACCAGATGTTCACTTGTAAGAAAATAAAATCGCGTAGGCAGGGAATATGACAAATTGACCACAGCATGGTCACACAAGGGTATCATATACTTGGACATAAAGTAACTTGAGACCAAGAGCTTCTGTATAAGCTTTGGAGATGGAATCATGGATGACTCAAGGCCTGAAAAGTCTTAAAAAAGAATCAGTGTTCTGAAATGAGACACCACCAACACTGCTGAAACCTATCATTTTCTTAGGAATCTCCAGCCATTTATTTTATGTGGCTTTCACAGAGCCTGAAACAGTCTCTACTTTGTGATTTTTTTTCTTGGTTTTCTTTTAAGAGTGAGCAAAGTGAGAAAAATATCTAAGTAAAATACTTTCAATCTTGTAGCATTTTCTGGTGAATGAAGAAGATTTCGCTATCAGCCATACCCCCTCCCCAACATGAGAGATTTACATTAGAAGCATACTAAATTCATACTATGTTTGCTAAGCAAAGGCAAAGTTTCTTGTGAGTTTACTCCAGTTTTACACTGTTACAACTCCTGGGAATTAATTTCTTGAGAACTAGCATAATGCCAAAGTAATACAGTAGTGACTGGGGTTTAAAGCTTGCTATCAAAATCCCAAATGGAGAACAGTGAATTTCCATTCTGCACAGGTATGGATAAGCCACGCCGTGACTGCAGAGGTACTTGGCTTGGCTCTATGTATGCTAGTTCAAGCAAGCTAATAAGCATGGGATCACCTTAGTTCTGGAAACAGAGGCCTAACTTGGATTTTATCTTTAAATTATTCCAACCTCTCTTCCTCTAACTCGTAACTGTGAAGAGCTGGGACAAGTTCAAACTCATAAACTTCAGACAAATGCATATCTAACATAAGTTTTAACTACATACAGCTCAAACCTCTCAGCAATCTCCGTAAACACCAGTACATACTTTTCACACTAATCCAAAAAAATCTGAGTAACCATATTATTATTCTAAAAGATACATCTAAAAGATACATCTAAACATAAACTACTAAAAAAGATCAGAGGAGCAGTGCAACTGGTTAAATTATTTAGAAAATCCATACAGGCACAGAGTAAACATCCGTGAATGAAAATTAAATAATATGTTCAGGATATTTCTGAACACCAAAAGTGAATTTCAGCTACTGACAGTTGCAATTTTTCCATCATGCTCAGTTAGATTTTTACAAATTCTCAGAAGTAATTTCAAAGGTATAGGAAGGAATCAAATTTTCAGTGTGGGAATTCAAAATCCAGAGGTCGTCTTCCTCTGGACTTGTTATTCAAAACAGTCTGCATCCTATGCAGCGCATTCCATAATGCACTCCAAGATGACCCAAGGGTAAAAATCAATGATGGACTTTCTTAACAAGCACGGAAATCTACTCCATCCCCTCTTCTATTTCAGGACTACTTAATGTCAAAACTCTTTAAAAGATACAAGAAAGACGGGACATGCAAAGCCTGTGCTTTTACTGCTATGCAATAAAAGCAAAATGAGCTGATCATTTAGGGCCTGATAGAAGCTCACCGAAGTCAATACAATCCTTTCTGTTGATTTCAATGGCTTTTATACCAGGCCCTTAAATAGACTGTGAAAAACATCTGAATGAGTGATTTTGGCTCAGTATCACCACACCCACCCCGTTTCTCTGATTGGTATTTGTTGGTGATTTGGCAAATGTGTTTATACGTGACACAGCAGAAAATACAAAGTTCAGAAATAGCATTTTGTCAGTCAAAATCACTTGCCTGGTGTTAGACAGTTAAAACTAGTAAGGATTGGCTGCTAATTTCAGCCAGTTAAATGCTGTTGCAAATGAAAGATGAAGCATTGCATGAAGCCATGCTAAAATGGATAGAAGGATGGTTACTTACCAACGGGGCGAGCTGTTGACATTACAATGGTGTAGTGAGAACATAAAAAAGAAATTAAAAAAAGAAAAGAATATCTGTCAGAATGCATGACGTGTAATGTTACCTTCCACTATGGATACTACCATGATTGCTAGCCCCTCAAATGACAGCCTAAGTAAAATGTTTACTGTTGTTACTGTTTAGTCACGTGCCACTATTATCACATTTACTTGAGCATAGCATCTGAACAAGCTGACTGGAACCATTCTCTGAGAAACATTTTTATTATCTTTGCATGCCATCATCAAGTATCATTGTTAATGCCTGATAAAAGAAAAATTGCATTGCATTAGCACAAACTTTTAGATCCCGATGAACACATCAATTTAAGCTGCAGACTGCCAAATGTCATGCCAGTAGATGCAAGGCATTTGCTTTCTGAGTCAAATACCAATTGAATTTTAAGCATGGCCAGTCAGTACACAGTAAGGGCTACAGAAAGCCCAGGACGGTTTTTCTCATTCAATAACGGGCATGAAAGCTTACAGCACACTGCTTTTTCCTCACTGACAGTGCTGATGAAAATATAACAAATAGGCTGAAATAGCCACAGGGATTTCAACCCAGAACCTCCTAAATTACCGCTTAGATAACTTCTACTTCCTAAAAAAATTGCTGCTGAATGATCGACAGGTTAATACTGTTTCAGGTTGATATCAAGATTGAAAGCTGCTGCTGCAACAAGTGATTTCTTGATTAAAGCAACAGTCCTTCATTACACTTGTGCTAGGGAAGAGGGCTGTCAGTCCCTCTATTAATAAAATATAGACATCCCCTTTCAGAAAAGCTGAAAAGTTGGACATAAAATTGACTCCAGGTTGCATCTGGGTAGGCCAAAATTCCCTTATTTTAGCAGTAGAAGTAGTTACACATTTCTGAGCAACAGCACAATTTTTTTCTTTTTTTCTTTTTTCTTTTTTTTTTTTTTAAAAAAAGAAGCTAACCAGCTCTGTATGCTTATATGCAGGCTAGGGTCAAATGTAAGATACGCAGATCCAGAGGTAACGCAGCATGCAAGGAGCTTCTTAGCTCTCAACCCTTCTGTGGCTTTATCCTTACTTTGGCATACCCACTTCATTTAACTATTTCAAGCCTCCTGCCCTTTATCACCCGTCATCTATTTGAAGACTCTCTGTCTTCTAGTACTATGGACATATTCCTTCTTCTGCAGAGAGATAAGGAATAAGAGTGAGGTGCACCTTTCCAAGAGAGGGCATGAAGGTTGAGCCACAGAATTCAAATACTGTTATTGTTTGTGACAGTGTAACACAAACTTCCTGACTGCATCCTCATCCCCTGCTTTGAGAAGATGGAGCCGTGAATGAGGGAGCTCATAATAATGCTGTTGTTGCCAGGTTTGCAGCTGTAACTGCACGATACCTGCAAGGACCAAGGCACCCTCAAAGTGAATTTTGAAGTGCTATGTGTTTTTGCTCCTCTACCTGATGAGTGGTTATGGTAAAAGCAGTTTCAGACAAAACTGGCAAAAGTTTGAGAATTCAGAATTAAGGCTTCCTTTAATTAAAAGGACCATTGTTCATGGTCTCTTTAAAGTCAACGGGGGGTTGCCCAGTCCTTTGTTTTCAGAAAATTCAGAGTAATAACCTTCTCCATTGAATTTCTTGGCTTTTCTCATCTTCTGTCATATCCTGAACATTTAATATGCTTATAATATTGTGGCTTCCTTTGTGTTGGATAAACACTATGAATTTGACTATAAATGACAAACCCAGAGGGGAAAATACCAAAGATAATGAAAACCTGCTTTTACTGTAGGAAAATCAATTAAATTATATATTTATTCAGGTTGTTTTCACCTTAATTTCATCAGGTTCAAGCTTCAGTGATTTCAAAGGATTTTTTGCTTGGTTCTAGCTATTGTTTATATCACAAGTCTGGACAGCAAATCTAAAAGGCTTGCTCCAGTAATGTATACACAATTCTAGGAGTGTTTAAAGGCTATCGAATTGGTTGCCAGATTTATTGGACACCATGATTCTGCCTGTGACAAAGGAACAGAGTGAGAGTATTTCTGGGAGTCGCTGTAGTGACTATTTTTCTCACATTACAAAATGGAAGAACAATCTCTTACACAAGCATGTAGCAGGTAAACCTATTTTTTCAGCTTAAAATGGGAAGAGTTGCATTATCACTTATTGTCTGAAGCGAACACTGAGGTAATATTTCAGCAGATGGTTTATCACAATACTCTTTTCTTTGTTATACACTAACATCTCCACCCCCTACAAAGCCACTCGGTGCTTTTTTTTCCCTTTGAATTCAGCAAATTAAACTGAACTGTGTCCATGCATTAAATGGATGGAAATGGAAGCTGGCCTCTTGGGTCAGTTGACCCCAGTTCTAATAAAGCAATCCACTGAGACTTTGAACATTTGATTTAATGTGTATGAAAAAAGAAGAACAGATAAAGCTAAAAATGTTTTTATTAACCTTTCACAGCTCTACTGAAAACCGTCAGCATGCACCACTAAACTGTGAAATAGTGTCTGCATGATATCCATTGTGCCAAATTGCTGCTTACCTTTTGGAATGAAGTAATAACTATTATATTCTATTTACTCATATGGAACTATTAGCCTAAAAACTTTTTCTCTCCCCATAATCTTTAGCATGTCTATATCTACTGTCACAAAAGACATTTTGGCAACTCATTATTCTACCGGTCTTAAAACCTCCTTAACACATCAAACAGCAGCACATAAACACCGAGTGGATACTAGAGACCAAGAATATTTTAGGAGAGTATATGTTAGTCTTTACCTTGTAATACTTACAAAATTTAATTAGGATTTTCTTTTTCCTTTGGCTGGGGTTTATCTTTCAGATAAAGAGTAATGGTAGAGACTTTAATTATGGCAGAGCTAATCACAGAATAATACTATCTGCATTATGTTTGGCATTAATAAACATAGATAGTTACTTACTATAATCCTTACACTTAATAGAGAAAGGAATGTTAAGAATCGCCTAAACTTAAAGTCTATGCCCACGGTTATGTAGCGCTTGCTTATGCATATGTATGCATCTGTTCTTCAGTAAAAAAACGTTGGAACAGCTCTTTAACTGCAGGGAGATCCTATCCTATTGAAGTAAATTAAAATTTTGCCTGAGATATCAACAGGACTAGGATTTCTCCGCTGTTGTAAATCAGTGCCAGCACCTGCAATTGCAAAGGGTATGTGAAACCCAAACAATGCCAGGCAAGGATGTGGCCCATTTCTCAGAAAGCAATTTATCCATATGGGGGACAGGCCCTCCCTCCATGGGAACACTCACCTCGCACAGTGAGGGTAGAAGAGGCTTCCACTTTTCCAACTCGATTCTCAGCAATGCATGTGTAGGTTCCTTCATCTGTGCTCATGGCCTTCTTAATGCGCAAAGTGTAGTCATCTTTGATGTCATACCTGCATTACAGAAAAAGAACGAAAACTCTTTCTGTAGACAACAGAAATGAATGAAAACTCTCACCTGGAATATGCCAGTCTGAATCTATCTGGAGCCAACTTTGGAAGATAAATTATTATCTAGCATTAGATAATTCCACCAAGCATTAATCTTCATGACATTTTTATTGCACTCTGCATTAGTTTGAAACTTTACATAAAATTAGTATTGCTATGTTCAGTATTAGGGCTTTATTAATAATATCATTCACTTTGTCCTTGATCTAGAGCAATAAGATAAAATTAAGCTATCAGACATCAGTTACCAATATATGACAGCTCAGGTTTATCATGCCTTTAACTATGTGAGCTACAATTTTACCTTTTGCCGATTTGGAAATTTCCCTTTATATATAGTTTTTCTCTACAGCAGGAACCCCTTAGGGAAACAGTGAGCATGTTGGTAGGATCTGACACTACACGATTACAAACAATAAGAAATATATTTAAGCTCTGGAAGGTGACATTTATTGAAGAGGCACATTAAAGGAGATTTATCAATTTCACAGAAATACTACAAAATGATTCATTAAGGGTGGACAACAACATTTTCTCTTTCTTAAAAAAAATTAGAAACAATTCAGTTATGCTTTGTCCGTTTCCTTGTTTCTACTGTTGTAATAATTCTAAAACTATGAGGATGTATAAAACTTGAAATAATACAAAGTACTTCAGCATGCAGTGAACATTCATTCTCAAGGCATTTAGAGTGCTTACACTTAGAAAAATATGTTCAGTTAAATTCTTATTATCCTGCAGAAGTCATGCTTAACAAACTATTTTAGGCTCTGATCCAAAGCTCATTAAAGTCAACGGCAGACTTTATCTTGTATGAAATTTCTTTGGTTCCCAAATCAGGAAAACCCTGGTTTTCAGCATGGATATTTTACTCTTGAAATATTCTCTTGTAAAATTATTTTCAACAACATTTATAAGCCCATGAGACCTTAATTAAGCCACCTTGAATCTAGAGTTAGCTTCAGATTCTCGTGTATCAAACAGTGAAATAGGAACACGAAACTAAAGAAAGATCAAGACTTCAGGAGACGTCAATGCTCTTTCTCACTGTATACACACTCATGACATAACTTCAGAACAACTAATTTACATTCCCTTTGTTATACAGTAAAGACCTTGTAGACTTGTTCAACAAACATTGAAATCATACGGAAGAGCACCCTTAAATGTTTCAATGAATAAGAATGTAATGCAATTAGTTACAGGAATGTTGTGAGGCTCTGTGAGTATTTTTAAATGCTTTGGGAATCTGAAACATTAATTTATGTCTACATGATATACATTGTTATTGGTTCCTTTAGTATAGAGTTGTAGAGAAAGCACTGTGTGACTTTAAAGCATCCTCACTCAAAGGATCCTATATGTTGAAACATTTAAAGTTCTGTTATGTCTAATCAAAGCTCACAACATCAATTAGAGCATTACTAGCGATTCCAAGAATAAAGAGAAGTCAATACATCTTTTCACGCTCACCTCAATACAATACAGCTTCATTCTATATTCAGTAAGTCCATTTTAATCATTAGCAAAAAATAAATTAAAAAAAGACCAAATTGACGCTAACCATTCTGTCAGAGAGAAACATAAACACATATAATACCCCTTTTGTTAGGAGTTACACTTAATTATATGTATATGCAGTACCTCAGGTTTAACTAACGAATAAGAGATATGCCAAGGCGAAGAACAAGTAGATGCCATGGCAAACTTCAGAAACTTTTAGGGACAACTTTTTTTGCTAGCGTAATACCATGGGGGTGTGGGGGGGTGCAAGTTATGATGCTAGAGAACTTACTATGCAGTCTGGAGCAGTACAGATCTATTGCAACTACATTCAACAGCCATATGTAGTTAAGGCATATTTCTTCTCGACTGCTCACAAATTATGTCATTTTGCATGCTGTGCTGCACTAGTCAATGGCAAATAGAAATCACTGTTTTCGTAAGAGAGAAAAGGCAAATTGTCTCCCTTAAAAATCTCAAGAATGTGACAACAGTATCCCACAACGATGGAGCAGTTATTTGTTTTTGGAGACCACACAGTTGCGGAAAAGAGAAAATGATTATTTTCTTGACGTGAGGCCAGCCCTAGGGGACTAAAAATATAAAGTTGTATTCAGCTCCTGTAAGATGAGAAAACTAAGATGAGCTGTAATATAAATATGAGTTGGATCTAAGAATCATAGTTATAAAGCTGGGCAACAATTAACCATTTATTTAATTGTTCGGTTGTTTGTTTGGTTTTTTCCCCCGGACAAATAACATCCTTGTGGTTCACTTACCACTGCCGAGATAAAAACAGACAGGCAGCAGGACTGTACCTGACTGAGTGGCTGCTTGAACTGGGATGCAGGCAGCCTGGGACAGGGCCCTCCAGTCTGCTGTGGGCTGCAGCTGACTCGTTCTTCTTCATCTCACCGATTTGCTGGTGCCGGCATGCCAGCCAGCTGCCTTGGAGGCTTCGGCAGTCTTTATGCTTGCACCTGCCAATCATGCAAATTGTGCAAAGGCTGCTGGGGGAACGAGCCAGCTGCATGGCATGCCAGGACGCAGAGTGAGGGTACAGCCATCATCTCCCACTTGGGTCGTGAAATGGAGGGTGGCGTAAGCATGTCACTATCATGGCCCAGTTATCAATTACTTCAAGGAAAGGTCCAGCTCCCCCAGGCTGTTTCCCCAACAAGGCCATACTGAGTTTTTGGACCACCCTGACAGAACGTGCCATCTAGCAATTAGATTCATACATAGATGGACCCATGGGACATTATAACCATCTGCTGTCCTGAAGTATTGATACGCTGCCCCTCAGTCATCTGTTCCACCCACATTGTCTCCAGAAGTCACCACAATTCAGAGAAGAGCTTTGACAGATGAAGCAGGCAGGAAGGAGAAAGGAAGAAAACTGACTTTTAGCCTGATCCACAGCAGCACAAGGAGGTTGTGTGAGAAAGGGACCGTGAAGTAACAAGGAGTGAAGCCTGAATACATATTTAGTTTTCCAAGCATCCACTTGCACAGTCTTGAACAGTGTCTTCTCTCCTCTCAGCCCCAGAGCCTCATATTCCCACAGCAAGATCTTTCCACCTGAAATTCTGGAGAAGTTCACTCTCATCTGGATTAGTGCTACTGAACACTTGGAAATCAGGATCAGGGCCTCTCTGACTGTTAATACCAATCACAGGCAGAGGTTACCAGATTCCTGGATTGATGATGGAGTGGCGGAAAACCAGAACATACTGGTTAAGTTGATCCTTAACGTTGCCAGTGCACTAAGAAGGCAATGCCTTCAAAATATGTGAAGTGTCAAGAAACACCTTCTAACATATTGCCAAAATATTGCTGACTCCTAGCCAACTAATGCCAACATTCAGCTAAAAACTAGGGCGTCAGACATCAGTTTCACATGTTTATGGCCATCTAATTGATTTTAAGCACTTCTCTTTGTTAAACATTTGGAGGTGCTTAACCTTTCAGTTCAGCTTAGACTTCAGCCATAAGACTGAGCTGGGAGAGGTCTTTCAAACAGCTAGTCTGCCTGTGCCTAGATATAAACCAGCCACTTTTGGGCACCACGTTACATAATTTCTGTTCTACAAGTAATAGTTAGAGCAGGTCTGCCTTTAATTAACTGAGAAGGAAGGGGGGGCAGGGGACTGGAAAGGAAGAAAGAAACAGAGAAACAACAAGCAGATGAGAAAACACTGCTGGTGAGGAAATTCTAATAGAAATTGGGTGATTTTGAGTGAAATCTGGCAGTCTCTGGCATATATGAATGCATTCATTGTTGCTAGTTTTGATTAATGACAGTTGTACAATAGTGTGTTGACAGTCACTGCCATACAGACACATTTTTTTTTTTATATGAAACACTGCTGAAAATGCAACCCAATCAGATTTGGCCCCTGAACAACATGTGCTATCATCACTGTACCGTGAATTGAGATTGATTGGTAACCAGCTGTGACAAAGTGGGAAAAAGAGCCTTGTCTTTTTCAAGAAAAGTAAAGAAGAAAAATAAAAAACTGAATTGTGTCAAAACCATTACCATCTGCTCAACCAAATAACAAATAAAACAAAACACATTAACTGTTTTTAAGTATCACAAATTAATGTACTGAGGTTGGATTCATGCATTGGCTTAGGCACCTAAAAATAATCTTGAATTAAACTGTTTTTGTCACAGTTATCATTTTTCTTCCCCACATTCAAATGTGTATCTGTCCACACTCAGCCACCAATCTTCCATGGTTATCAAATAAAAAAAGAAGAGAGAGAATTTACTGAACTTAGAGAGATTTAGCAATATGCTTTTTTCCATTTGATATACATTTTACTGATTGCTTCACAGAACCCCTAGATTTCCAGATTTTCAAAAAAGTGCAGCTATGCATAAAACTATATGCACGTCTTTGTCATTCACACACACAGGTAGCAAAACTGTGTTTGCAGCTGGAGTCAATACATTTCTAAAGATCAAAGTGGGTCTAACCGGTGATAAAAGGATGCACTTGCTTCGGCTGTGTATTTTAAAGTTGTAAGAATGCGTTACTGAATTCAACAAATCCAACTCAAAAAGACATATTTCTTGCTAAAGGGAGTTTGCGAGAGAACAAGTCACATCTTAATTGTTGTGAACTGATGCCACCGGCCTCAAAAAATTTACACCAATTTATGCCAGGCACCTATTTTCTTCTAAATTTTTACTGTAAATAAATTAAAAAAAAAAAAAAAGAATCTTTGTATGTGGGCTTTGTAGGCTTTCCTTTTTTTAGAGATGGCACAAAAATTACTTTGCTCTATTTTCTTTTGCTTGTTTGCCAGGATATTTTGCAAAACACGCACAAAGCTTCAAGATTACTCACAACATCAATGATTAGGGAGCCCAAATAGAGAGATGCTACTGGCCAAAACCAGAGTAAACAGGAGGTAGTTAAGGAGGCTTA